TTGATGGGCTTAATTGCACAAAACGCATGATCGCACCGGCTAGTCTGGTGCGCGTTGCCATTTATTATTTGCTTTTGCCTTCTTGAGCTTTTATTCATAAGTTCTGACTATTTGATTTCGTTCAGGTTTTCTTTAATTTATTCTTCTTTGTACTGTTGCGCTGCCCCTCCTGTTTACTACCGTCCCCAGCTTTTGCCAAGAACCCTCACTAGTACCCTTGTTCCTCTTTTTTCTTTTCTGCCACCAAATCCTGCCTGCAGGACGGCATCTGGGCACCCATCACGCACCACTCCCAACTACTGTCACCATCAATCGCTTCCAATTTCTCACTGGCGCTCTTGTTCCCCTCCTTTACCCTCCCTCAATCCATGCTCCCGGAGTTGTGTCTGGGTACCCATCCAACACCGGGTAGTGCTACCCGACGCTACTGGCAACGTGCCAAGGGTTGCCGGCGAGCCGTGACAGAAGAGAAGCTGGGGTGACGGCCGAGCCGAGCTGAGCGAAGAGAAAGTTTGACGCCCTGTGCGGATCTGGCTTGCCGCCTTTGGCCTGTACGTTCCCCGGATCGGCGGTGCACACGACCTTTTGCCACAGCGTTTGTTCGTCGATGCGGGGCAGTTATTATTCGGTTTTTGGTGTGACCACCAAAAACGCACGTCTGCTTTGCGGTGAAATTCGCTGCAACTGCGTTTGCCCCGAAGATGTGCAGCTTCGCCGACAGGGCTTCTTCTGCTCGCCCCCTCGTTCCGAGCTGCCTGTACTTGGCTGACAGTTTGCCTTCGTGCGCTTCTCATACACGTTCCATCTCGTCCACCGCTTCTCGGCCACTTTTCGCGTCACTTTCAGATGTGCTGAACGGAAATGAATGATTTATATGCGAGGATCGCTTGAAAGTTGCTGGACCATGGAGCAGTGCTCGTCATCCGCTGCTCAGCGACGAGGCTATACGCCGGTCAAAAGAGAATTTCTGGATCGGAAGGCGGCCGCCGGCAGTCCTGGTTCTGGTAAGCCGCCCTAAGTCCAGCTGGCTCAGCTTTGTTGCTGCTATTGATATATTTTCGGAATTTCAATCAAGCATCAGCGTGAATTTCAGGCTGCAGTTCGTCGGGGAGGGGGGCAGAGGGGACGGCGATGATGCTGTGAAAATTGTTGGTAGAGATTTACTGAGCTCCACAGCGATTTTCGTACATTAAGATACAATCAGAGTGGTTATTGGAGGGAGGGGTTTGTGAATTTGTGGTTTGAGATATTGTAAATTCCTCGGATGAGGCATCTGATTCGGCTTCAATGAAATCTGTACTTCTGTGAAAGCTCGGGATATGATGAAGTGCACGCACCTCTGAGAGTTTGTAGCTGTCGAATAGTTTTGACGAATGGAAGAGATAAAAGGAAGTCGGTGCCCCGTTGCTGGTTTAGGGCAGAAGTGTGCTGCAGTTCGCAGTCCACTGAGCATCTTATTAGTCGACTGGTAATAATCCACGTAAACAGCCACTGTAATCTGATGATCGATGGCAGGAAAGCAGAGAGGACAGAATGCTGAAATCTGAGGACATGTTTTATGCCCGTATTGGTCCTTGAGCTTACGTCTCATGTGCAGATGCGGGAAATTGCGCGTGTAAAAGTTTCTAACATTGGAACCGGACAGCAGAGAATGCGGAAAATTTACCAGGATATTTCATGTCTGTTGTGCGACGCTTTATATTTAAACTTAACTTCCAAATACTCCCTTATCTCTCGTGCGGGCGCCTGGAACGTCAGGCGAGAAATTGCTGGTATCTTTTTAATTCGGAATTCAAACATTATAGAAAACCCAGGGTTTTGGTCCCTTTCAGTTTGCAGTAGATTCAGATTTGCTTGCGATTATCTAACAGCGCTTGAACGTATGGGTGGAAAATTTTTAGCAAGGATCTAGCTCGGCGAAAAAAGGTGAGGGGGCGTTCCCTCTTCACAAGCGATACAGGAATAAATTCAGCCAGCTCCCATATACGACTATTTCTCACGCTTAGAAGACACTCGGAACATCAGGCGCAAAATTAGCTCATGAGCCAGTCAAGACAGAAAGCTGAAATCATGCGCTTGTGCGACCCGAAAAAGCTAAATTCAGTGCCCGCGTACTCCTACGTCTCACAGGCTGGTACATGAAGTATGGACTTGATGATTAATCCGAAATTAGCGTAGAGTTCCTTAACCTCATCTTCGGTGTTGACCGTAGTGGGCATAGCTAAGTCCAGACCGGTCCGCTAGGGGGAATTTTCCTTCTCCTCTCTCCTCCCCCCCCCCCCCCCCCCCCCC